GCCCCTGAAAATAGCCTTCTATCACTTACCTGCGAATAAATTACTGGTTCTTGCAATGCGAATAAATTACCGGTTCTTGCAAAGGAAATTGAGCAAATGGGCTTTCTCCCTAGAGTCACGATCTTCTATCATTCGTAAACAAAAGATCACAGGATAGCATCAGATAGGTAAAGCTTGGACCAATTTGACCGACATGTAGTCATTGAACGCAAAGCGAATTTTGAACCTTCTTTGCATTTCATTCCAACCTTCCATTCCCCCTTTTCATCCTTTTTCAAATGTTCCACCTATCATTGTTCACCGTGTGTACCTTTTTTCATCGAATAGGGCTCGTATTCCTACAACCATGTCAATGACGTAGTGAGCTCGCTAACAGTAAGATTTTGATGCCCTTTCAGCCTTCTTCCATTGTCTTCACCTTCTATTACCTATTATTATGCTACCGCTGCGTCCTTTCTTCGTACCGTCAAGTGCACGAAAAATGAACTCTCAATCTCAACGGTTCAATGATTCCTTCTGGCTTTTCCGACATTTCCAGGCAGTTTTCAAGAACTGCCGTCCATGTTCGAGGGCTTTTCGAGTGCATTGTATCGGGGGGCGGTGGTGTGCGGGGGGGCGGGGGGGGGGGCGTAAGGCGTCGGAGACGGTTTGCGGCACGCTATGCCTTTGAGACTGTTATGATTCCCTTGTTAAGTGTGGGTGAAGCTTAGGCGGCGGAAGAGTGAGACTCCATTACCAAAAGATTTCAATAACAAAGATAGTATCTCTGTTGAAGACAACGAAAAGATGTTACTGAATTGTATACAATAGGACATCCTAATGCGTACAATAATACCCCTGAGCGGCGGCGCGGAACCGACATCCAAAATAGCGCCTCAAGCCGCGCCTCTAAGAAGCAGCGCTTGGACCGCGGGTCGTTGGCCAGATTGCGGCCAATGAAAGAACATCAAGAACACTGTTTCATTTTCGATCGTTTTCGAGTGGTGGAATAGTACACTAACTTGAACCCCACCTATGCCTTTAAAGTCTATTATATTCAGCAGTTTGTAAAAGAATGCGGAAGATGAATGCGGGTCTTCGGAACGGAAAATTCATAGTACTGCATAAGAAACATCGTCAATGAGTCAACAAAGCTCTTGGATTGGTCATGGAATAAATTGATGTTCGAAACCTGATTAATTGCTAGTAATAATTCCTAGTCGCTTAGTAAAACGGTCCAGCCTAGCATTTTTTTATCATCTGGCAAGCCTTGTGAAAGCAAGCGTCACGAATCGTTTGGTGTTTTTTCCTGGCGATGGGGAGGGGAGGGTGACGAAGAGTACGTAAGCAATGCGTGACCATATATGAGCCAGGAGTTCTGTCCGGCCATAACCGTCGGCCGGAGACTGGCAGAGAAGCAGGAAATAGAAGCTGTCTGAAAAAATGATATTCCTTGATACCTACTGGTGATAATCTGCTTGCATTTGATGTCTCGCTCAATAAGGAGCGTCTAACCAAAAACTCGTCACCAAAAAGTGTCACAAGCTCATTCTGAATAGACCTGGTAGAATAAAGACGCAAGGCTTGGAAAAGGAAAAGGAACAGAAAAGGCTGTTTCAGTAGGAACATGATGACGTCCTTGAAGGGTGTGTTCCAATATCACTTCCTTGGCAAAGAAAAAACAAAGAAAAAAGTTCAAGTTCAAATAGTCAGTCCTCTCCTGCTTGGCAGACCCGCCCATTTCCAGCACAAACCCCGCGCTTGGGCTGTGCAACAAAATATGCCTTTGAAGAAGTAATCACAGAGATATGTAAACATAGGTAGATAGACAAAATACCGAATAATTCGTATTTTTTTTTTTTTTCAAGAACAGCTTTCATTGAAGCCATACAAAATTCACTAGATATGTTCACCGAACTCTTGCAGTTTTCTTAGTTCCTTCTCGAAGGCTTTTCTACCTCATTTATTAAGCGTATAGCATAAAATATGCTAAAAGCGGTTCAGCATATTTTATGCGAAATAATCGTTGACGGAATGACGGAGTGGTGTTTTTTTTTCAGAAAGAAGTTCGAGGTGCCACTCAGAAACCATCGCTTGGTCTACGAATTCATAAGGATCAATTCGTAAGAGATGAGTTACAAGAGGGCAGGTGCAACGGGGACAACTAATCCATTTGGAACATAATTGGGTTTTTCCCTGCCAATAATGTGCCGAACAAAAGGGATCCCATATGGCTGGTTTCCGTGCCGCAATGGTAACGCCTCATTGCCTCCGTCGAGCTTTATAGAGCTCCGTGTTCCGGTCGCCCTATCGTCATGGAGGAGGAAGAAGAAGAAGAGGAAACGCCGATCGAAGAAGAAACTCCGATAACATGGAGGAAGGTGAGTAGTTATCCGTCAAAAATGGACGAAGTCAGGGTGACTAACGTGGATTTCAGAGGGTCAAGATGGCCTTGCCCCATGCGGCACTCTACTTCTCGTTGTTCATGTATCTACTCGCTGGAGCGGCACTATTCTATCGCCTGGAATACGAGGCGGATGAGAAAATTCAAAACGAGAAGCTCAATCGAATCAAGCATGTACGACATATATAAGGGTTCTTTATTTTTGTTATTCAACCATAGCAGCGTCCGTCGACGGAGGGGCTATGGGGCGGCGGAGGGGGCTACGTGAGGCTGGAGCCATAAGTTTAAGCGTCACACGTTCGGATTCAGATCAGGGTCACCATTGCCTTGGACAAATTTCCGGGTCGTACCACCCCATCTTGGCGTTCATGTGGCTCATTTACAGTGGTTCTACATCAGCCCTATCTGTTCTACCTTCCACCCACTTCCCACTTTTTCCATCCCTAAAGGCCGGCTCTGACTCAGGCCCTGATTAAGGTACTTACCATGGTTTGTTGGGCAGTGACGGTAGAAAGAAAGGTTCTCCCGTTGCGCTTGCATGATCAGTTGAACCAGAGCTCCTGGGCCCCTTTAGCTTAGCCTTTAGCAACGGTTGACCTTTATCGGATTTGCTTTAGAAAAACGTTGAAATGGCCATCGGCAGATCCGGTTCGGTATCTAAATGGCATTTAAGGCCATATAGGTAAGCCCATTTCGGCCATTCAAATGCCTACATGATTCTGGTTGAAAGATGAATGTGCTCCGAATCCTGAAGAGCAATAAACATCAAGCCCTTTATTCTCAGCCACAAAAGCAGGCTATGAAATATGACTCTCCTTTTTCTTCGGATTTTCCTTTCTTTCTTCTTCGAATGTTATCTTCATCATTATCTTCACTAAAAAACTAAAACTACTAAAAAGCAAAGAATGCAAATATGATATGTAATTGATGCAGTGATCATAAGCATGTCGCCCTAATCGGATTCCGCAGTCAGCCTGTAATGGTTTTTGAAACTTTTGAAACATTTTCTAAACCCCAGTGAACCGCGAAGCGAGTACCTTGTAGCGCCAAGC